GGTAATGCTGTAAGTTCACTCTGTCCCTGTGAGCTCAGACGAAGAGGAGGGTTGATCTCAGGGAGAAGAAACGGCCAATCCTGGGGATTGACAACATATATGATGAATAACTGCTGGTTAAATAAATCAATGAACAAATAAACAATTTTTTTTTTAAAGCGGAGACCAAAAAGCATTCAACAGATGGCAAACAATGGCAGCATAAATGAATGAGGAGGGATGGGAACGTGTGGGGACCTGAGAGAGATGCTTGTCCCATCTAGGTGGAATAGTCATGGCTTAGCTCCACCCGGTTGTTGAGATGAGGGAATGCCTGCCCAAGGTCTGGCTTTTCAAGAGAATCTTGAAATTCAGATTTTATTTTATTTTTTTAAGATTTTATTTATTTATTCGACACAGAGAGAGAGCACAAGCAGGGGGAGCGGCAGGCAAAGGGAGAGGGAGAAGCGGGCTCCCCGTGGATCAGGGATCATGGATGCTGGGACTCGATCCCAGGACCCTGGGATCACGACCTGACCTGAGCTGGAGGCAGACACTTAACCCATTGAGCCACCCAGGCACCCCAAAATCCAGATTTTTATGTTAAATGTCCCAGTATAAAAAATGGATTTTATTCAGGTCTAGTTTATAATAGTAAAATGGGCACAGGTTTCGCGCAGAAGTCAATGGATGTTTGACCAAAGTATATGCCCATCCAACCAGCAACCTAATCAAGTTGTAGAACATTTCTGTCTCCCCAGAAAGTTCCTTCCTGCACCTTGAGGTCAGTCTTCTCAGTCCCATCACAGCTCCAGTTAAACACTAGTTTGGTTTCTATCCCCACAGATAAGTGTTGCCTGTTTTGGAATTTAAAATAAATGGAATCATACAGAATCATTTTTTTTCTGCCTAGCATCTCCACTCAACATAATGTCTGGGAAATCCATCCATGCTCTTGTGTGTAGTAATAGTTTGTTTCTTTTTATGACTGAGTAGTATTCCTTTGTATACATGTGTCTAAATTGTTTATTCATTCCCATTTGGATTCTCTCCAGATCTGAGGTATTACAAACAAAGCTGCTATGAACATTTCTGGGCAAGTCTTTTTAGGAACATGTATTTTCATTTCTCTTGGGTAAGAACCTAGGAATGGAATTGCTGATTTGGCAGGGGTGTGCTTAATTTTAAAAGAAGCTGCTAAATAGTCTTCAAAAATGATTGCACCATTTATACTACCCAGTCCACTCCACTGGCCCAGTAATATAGGAGAGTTCAGCTGTTCAACATTCTTACCAATGCTTGTTACTATTAGTCTTTTTAATTTTAGTCATTAGCCATGTTAGTCATAATTTTAGTCATTTCGAGATTCTCTTGGGAGTGGTATCTCCTATTAATTTTCATTTTCCTAATAACTAATGGTATCTAGCAACATTTCATATACTCATTGGTCATCTGTATATCTTCTTTTGTGAACTGTTTGTTCAAATCCTTTTCCTGTTATTTATTGGTTGTTTGCTTTCCTATTACTGCATTGAGAGTTTTCTATAATCTGGATACAAGTCTTTCTCAGATATATGTGTTGCAAATAATATTTCCCAGTCTGTGGCTTGATATTTCCTTTCCTTGTCAATGTCTTTTAAAAGCAAATAATTTTAATTTCAATGAAGTACAATCTGTCATCTTTCTTTAACTAAGGCATTCTGTGCCCTTAGAAATATTTATCTGCCTGTAAGTGGCAAAATTTTCTCCTATGTTGTCTTCTATAACTTTTATAGTTTTAGGCTTTATGCTCAAATCTATGAGCCATTTCAATTTATTTCTTGAGAACAAAGTGTGGAAAGAATTGTGTTCCATACAAATACCTAGTTTCTGTAGCATCCAAGAAATCTGCTAGTTATGTCCTCCAACATCATTCTTTTAATTTTTTTTTTTACTCCTCAACAGTAGGGATAGATGGAACATACATCAACATCACAAAGACCATATACAAAAGACCCACAGCTGATCTCATTCTCAACGGGGAAAAATGAGTTTTCTCCCCTAAGGTCAGGAACAGGACAGGGATGTCCACTCCCACCACTGTTGTTCAACATAGTACTAGAAGTCCTAGCCTCAGCAATCAGACAACAAAAAGAAATAAAAGCCATCCAAATCAGCAAAGCTTTAGCTATTTGCAGACGACATGATACTCTATATAGAAAACCCAAAAGACTCCACCAAAAACTTGCTAGAACTAATACATGAGTTCAGCAAACTTCCAGGATATAAAATCAATGTACAGAAATCTGTTGCATTTCTATACACCAATAATGAAGCAGCAGAAAGAGAAATCAAGGAATCAATCCTATTTACCAATGTGCCAAAAACCATAAGATACCTAAGGAATAAACCTAGCCAAAGACGTAAAAGATCCATACTCCGAAAACTACAGAACACTCATGAAAGAATTTGAAAAGGACACGAAGAAATAGAAAAACATTCCATGCTCATGGATTGGAAGAACAAACATTGTTAAAACGTCTATACTACTCAAAGCAATCTACACATTTAATGCAATCCCTATCAAAATATCAACAGCATTTTTCAGAACTAGAACAAAAAAATCCTAAAATCTGTATGGAGCCACAAAAGACCCCAAATAGCCAAAGCAATTCTGAAAAAGAAAAGCAAAGCGAGAGGCCCCAAGATTCTGGACTTCACATCTGACACTTTATACTCGCTATATTACAAGAAAATAACCTCACAATAGCATAACCTCATTTATTCACACATACCCTTTCTGCAATTGTCTTGTCTTTTTTCCTCCATATATGTTAAATGCCACTCTATAATGTTATTACTTTTGTTTTAAATAATCAGTTTTATTTTAAGTAAATTTAAATTCTAAAAAGAACAAAACATATAGACTTTATTTTGCAGATTCATTTCCAACTTTGGTGCCATTTATTCTTTACATGCAGATTTAAATTTCCCATTTTGTAGCATCTCCTTCAGCTTGAATAACATTTTAAAGCATTTTGTGCAGTACAGATATTCTAACAATAAATTTTAAAAACTTTCATTTGTTAGAAAATAGCTTTATTTCATCCTCATTTGGGGGTAATCTTTGATGGAAATAAAATCTCGGTTGACAGAAAATTGTTTTCTTTTCCGTTTTAAAAATATAATTCAATTGTTGCTTAGTCTCTGTTATTTCAGATGTGAAGTCAGCAGTCAGTTTTTCTCATTTTTCCCCTGTACATAATGCTTATTTTTTTATCTGGCTCTTTTCAAGATTTTCTTAGCTTTGGTTTTAGGCAATTTGACTCTGATGGCTTACTTTATATTTATCTTTCTTAGAGCTGGCTAAACTTTTCTAACTTAAGTCATTACATTTTATCCAATTTGCTAAGTTTTCAGTCATTATTTCTCAAAATTTTGATCTGCCCATTATCATTGTCTTCTCAATCTGGGACTGCAATTCTGTGTTGGCAAGATTTTTTTTGGTCTCAATATCCCTTTACATTATTTGAAAATTCCAGGAACTCCAAAGAAGTGGAGGTATATCTATTGATATTTACTATATTAGAAATTACAGCTGAGAACTTCTTAAATATATTGACCTATTGACCTACTTACTGACTTTTAGAGGAAGAAGAAGAGGAAGTGGGGAAGGGGAGATGGCCCTTACATGTTTCACATAAATAATATTCTTAAAGGAAAATCCATATTTAGAACGACTTTAATGAGAAGAACGGCATGATTTCATATTTTTACAGAGAAGTTTTCTGGCTTAATAAATAAAAGACAAGTAGGGTCTCATATCTGACTCTGCATCAGTCGGTTGTGATACAGTACATCATGTAGCCTCTGGACAACCGCACTGTATACTCAGAAATGAATGGAAGTAGAAAGGTCAAGTAACCACACAAGACTGCTCTTGTACCATCACCATTCAGACCTAATCTCTCTGTTCCGATTTCAATCCTTAGCAGCTGCTCTCTGATAAGCTTTGGGCAATCTCCATACACGTGCAGCCTGGCCTTTGGCCATGAACTTAGGTGGCAACCCCCACCCCACCATACACATACACAGTTCCCTTTCTCTGATGTTCCACTGGGCAAACTCTAGGTACTTGAGGTGACCCAAACTCTGACCAGTGTCTCCTCAGCTTAGCAGGCCTGCTGTGCTCTGTTCAGACACCAGCTTTACTGTGCTATGTTTGTAATTTTTCCCCATGCAGAGGGCTAAGTGACCAGGGTGCTTATCTCTTGAATTTCCCTTCTTTCAGGAATCACTGTTCTATGTTATCTATTTTCTATTGCCTGAAAACTGTTGTCATATATTGTGTCTAGTTTTATAGTTGTTTGTGGCAAAAGAATCAGTCTGGTGCCAGTTACTTCATCATGGTTAGAACTGAAAGTCTTCCATGTTTTTAATATTGCCCATAAAACTTGAAAAAAGTGTAACATATCTATGAGCATATACAGCTCATGGGCCACCTGTTGGAGACTCCTGGTCTATATTCTTGCTTTTCAAAATGTGGTCTTAAAGGAGCAGCATCAACATCACCTGGGAGCTTATAGGAAATGCAGAAGCTCAGGTCCCAGCCCAGACATGCAGATTCAGAATGTGCACTTGAACAAGATCCAAAGGTGATTTTATGGTCATTGACATTTGAAAAGATCTGGTCAAAAGTTTCTGCATTAGCTGTCTGTGTTTCCTAAACTGATATTAAGAATCACCTAGAATACTTGCCAGGATATATTCCCAAGCACCATCTGACCCACTGAATCAGAATGGCTAAGATAGTGATACTTATCACCAGGGAAGCTTGGGGAATATTGAGCTATTCCATAAACCTGTGAGGTTCATTGGACCCACATGTTTTGCTTCCATTATGGGATCTGCCCTGTGGTACCACCTTGATTTGACTCCAACTAGACACTAATTCAAAGGGTATAATCCACATAGATAACTACATGGGTAATCTTATTTTCCCAAGGAACTATTAGGCCATACTTTTTAAATGCCTTACTTACCTACTGAGGTAGCCAGTGGGTCTCCTTTCACACATGACAACTCTGGTTTTCAAATCTTCACTTCAAATTTGCCTCTTCTAGAGAGCTCTCTGAAACCAACCTCTCTAACACCTTCAAAAAAAAAATAAGAATGTTCATATAGCTATAGGTCAGGTTATAGGGTTATTCACTTTGTGTGGACTAAGAGAAGTATATTATAGTACTTTATATTTGTCACTTACCAATTTTTCTCCACTACATTTAGAGGAACCACAACCCTAATTTGCTTAGTCTGATCTTAGCACAATTACAGTCTTGGCACCTAGCATATTCCTAATTCATGCTCTTAACCCATGATTATACTGCTACCCATTTGCAAACATCACTTAAAACAAGTCTGTGGAGTTTTTGCCTTAGTCACTCCTATCATCTATCCACTCGCCCCTGGGTTAGGCTGTGTAGACTAGGTCCCCCTGTATCTCACCAATCATCATATCAGGCATCATATCCTATATCATATAATGTTCAGAATGTTCCCGGGTCAGAGGGAGGTGAGCAGGGGAGCCAGCTGTCGCAGCGGTGACCATCCAGCTGCCTGCATATGGGATAAGTGATCTCAAATAGCAGAAACAGAGGTGATGGGGGTAGAAGCATGTCCACCCGACACAGGATACCATCCTCAGGGGCTCCATGCCTCCTTTGCCAAGGTCAGGCGTGTGCAGATGATATGGGGGAGCAGCTGACTCATGTTCATCGAGCAGTGGGAATGGGAGCTGAATCCCCTCTCTGTGACCTTATTAAGCGTATTTCACCTTGCCAACTCTGCTTTCCTCATCTGCATTTGGAAACTTGATGTATCTACATTCAATCATGATTTCTTATGTTTGATGCGTAGGGCAGCAGAATACACTGCTGCTTGCATCCTAGAGGCTGCCATGTAGACTTATTTTGAAGCAGAACTGAGTTTTAGGTATTAAGGGCCTAAACATGTGCATAATGATTTCACTCCACTTTTAGTGATATTGTTAAGTATTTGCATTCAGGGATATTATTTGAAACTTTATATATAACAATGACAACATAAAATTAACCTAAGTCCCACTATGGAGGATTGTCCAAATTATGATCTATCCATGTGAAAAGATATTATACAGCCATTTGAACTACAAAGAGACGTTAATAGCATTAGAAAATGCTCACAAATTAAAGCACCCAAATAAAAACACTACATAATTTTGTTATGTGTATAAAATATATAAGAATATATTCTGGATGACGGTGTTAATTATAAGTGATTTTAAAATTGTTTTCTCGGGAGCCTGGGTGGCTCAGTTGGTTAAGCAACTGCTTTCGGCCCAGGTCATGATCCTGGAGTCCCGGGATCGAGTCCCACATCAGGCTCCCTGCTCGGCGGGGAGTCTGCTTCTCCCTCTGACCCTCTTCCCTCTCTATCTCTCATTCTCTCTCTCTCAAATAAATAAATAAAATCTTTAAAAAAAAATAAAATAAAATAAAATTGTTTTCTCTATGTTCTATATGTTTGATTGTTATAAGTCAGGAGAAAAGGAAAAAATAAAGTCTTATTTTAAAAAATTTTTCTATTCTAAAAAAAATTAAAAAAAAAAATTCTAATCCAAGGATTAGAATCTGAGGGTCTGGGTTTGAGTCCTGGTTTCAATATAGGCTGTGTGACCTTGAGTAAGAGAAGTTTGCAAAGTGGGGGAAACTTGCCTCCCCTTTCTTATTGGATGGGTGAGCAGCTAAAATAAGATGATGTGCAGGAAATAGCCATGCGGAAGAAAAATGGCAAAATAGAAGGGCCATTGCGCCTGTGAATTAGATGAAGAAACAAGAAGCTATTCTTATAAGAAATGTTGGTGCTGATAAGATTTCAAGTTGCCATTATCTTCTTCAACCCTACTTTAAAAGAGACAAAAAAGAAAGAGAAAGAGAGAGAGGAAGGGAGGGAGGGAGGGGGTAAGGAGGGAGAGAGGCGAGGGAGGGGGAGTGTATTTCCTGCCTTCAACCAAGGGGCAGGAGCCATTCCCTCTCCTGAGATGCCCAAGAAGACATCAGCATTCATTGCAAGTGGTGTGACACCCAGGACAGCCACTTTGAAATGTGTTTGCAATATTTACTTAACTGCAAAAGGTGAATGTCCTAAGATGCAACAATCCTACTTTGCTGCAGGCCTCTGGGGAGATATTTGCACATGTGCATGAGATGGCTGTGCATTCTTTTTAGGTTCTGCACCACATAGACTGGGCTCTCTAAAACAATACTGAGACACTACTGCTTTTATAGTTGAACTGAAAGGTAGTGAATGAATATGTACTGACATGAAAAATCTCCAAGAGTTGTTTTTTGTTTTTTGTTTTTTTAGATAACCAAACTGACAGAGTGTAGACCATGAAACCATCTATATAATGATAACTTGAAACATCACATTTCTAATTTCTGTGGGTGTATAAAGGCATAGGAAGTTTGGAATGCTTCAGACCAATTTGACAATAGTGGTTAGATTTGGGGCTGGGAGGGATGTGTAGAGGGAAAAATGTACTTTACCTATATTTAAGTTGGTTTTTCAAAAACAGTATGTTCATATATTACCAGTGCAATTAAAATTAACTTAAAAGTAAAGTTAAAGTAGCTGGCAAAAATAATTACAGGTAGTTGTTAATTGAACAAATAAATATACCATGGACAACTGCAACCAGGTTTTTCATTGTTGGAGAACAGGGTTATAAAATTGGAAAAGGGAGGTGGAGATATACTAGTGTTTGATTGGAGTCGAAGGTGTTAAGTACGAACTCGTGGTTTTAAAAAAGGACAGAAACATCACATTTCTAATTTCTGTGGGTGTATAAAGGGGGAAGGGAGGGAAGAGAGGTAGGGAGAGAGAAAGGGAGAGAAATGTCATACATATACATACAGAGAGCCTAGAAGCAATGACACCCCAGTGGCAATGAGCACACCTAGCACCCAGATCTTGGTTTCTATATGCCATTCTCCACCAAAGGGAAACAGGGCACCTTAAAGAAATGGCTGATTCTGGTTCTGGGACAGGGAAAATACAAGATGAGCCTTAGAATATCTTCTTATGCCAAAAAGGAAGGAAATGTTCAGAGAACAATGCGGACACGTCAAAAGGACAAAGAAATCAGTTTGAAAGGATTCCCACTCGTCACATCTGAGACCATTCTAGCATCAAAATTAATAATGATAGAGAACCATAAGACATTGGATGCAACAAAAATCCATGAGTTACATTGATATAAAATAATAAGGGGAAAAGTGGGGGAAAGATCTTCCTTAGAGTAGAAAGACAATTAGTTAATGTAGAAAGAATAATAGAATCAGGAAAAGTACCTTCAGGCAACCTTCAACACGATAATAATTGAATCAACCAAGAATCATCAACAGATGCCAAAATAAGTGGATGAACATTTGAGGGGTAACTGGATATTCACATAGTCTCAAAATATCTCCCCATAAACGACTTACTAATTACAAAGGGAAGAGTGTAACTTAAGTATGGAGACACCCCTCAACACCGCTCTAACTGAGGGGTCCAGGTCAGCATGGCTGACCCAGGACAAACCCACATCCTGTGCCGCCCGATGGGACCCGCCGAGAAGAACAAAGCACCTGCGGTGGTATTTCTGCCCATAATGCACTATCTGAATCCAATCCTAACAAAACATCAGACAAACCCAAACTGAGGACATTCTGCAAAGTAACCTGCCTGTGGCATGAACACAAGAGAAGCTTGAGGCACGGCTTCCCTGTTAAAGGAGGCTGGACACACGTGAGAACTAAGGATAGCACATGTTCTGGAGTTTTCTTTCTCTGTAAAGGACATTATTCAGATAACTGACCAAATCGAAATAAAACCTGTGGATTAGGTAAGGGGCATTGTATGGATTTCAATTTCCTGATGTTTGTTTATTTTCGGATTCCTGTGGTCACACAAGTGAATGTCCTTGCTTGTAGAACATCCTTGCTGAAGTATTTAGGGGGTAAAAGAGCATCTTGTCTGCAATTCATTCTCAAATGGTTCAGATAAGTCAGAATGCACGTGCGTGCACATAATTACAGTGTGCAAGAGAGAGACAGGAATGAGAGGAAGAGAGAGGGAAAAAGAGAGGGGGATAAATCTGGGAAAATGCGAACAATTGAGGCATTCTTGCAACTCTTCTGTAAGTCTGAAATTACAAACTTAAAAGGAAATTTTAAAGGGTAAAGGAGTTAGAATAACTTGCAGCAGACAACCAAGGTCTCCGACCCAGAGTCAGGGTCAAAACTCACTCGGCCAATCCTGCAGGGAGGCTGAATAAACAGAATGCTTGAGAATCTGGGTCCAAATCTGGCCGAGGGAGAGGCAATAGAGAGTAAGACCCCCAAAGCCTCGGTTTCAAAAATAGGACTATTCATCCTGAATTATGGGCGCGTTGGGGCCACAGAGTGACACGGTACATGAGCAGGTGACACTGAGCCAGGTTCCGCGAACGTGCTCAGTGCATATGAACCATGTCCAGTCCCTGCTCTCAGCGCCGCCCCCCCCAAGTCCATCCCTGAAATATGATGGAGATGAAGTCCCCCGAATGCCTAAGAAACAAAGAAAAAGCACAACGGAGGTCCCTAGCCTCTGCCCAAGAAGGCCAGTCAGTGTCCCATTTGATTGTAGGGAGCTTTTTCATGAATAAAGTTAAAATCTGTAAACCACCCAAGAGCTTCAGTTATCTGAAAAATGCTTTGTCCCCACCAGAGGATGTGGGGAAAGAGGTCACTTATTTAAAGAAACAGGCTATCGTGACCAAACTCTGAACGTCTCAGGCCTCTCCCGGGCCTTTGGATCGAACTCGGGGAAACTGAGAAGTAAAATCAGGAGCCCAGGCTGCTGCAGCCATTGGCACTAGGGGGCAGGCCAGCGGGTTCGCTCCCCTGCAGTGGCCAGCTGAGCGGGTACCCGGGCACAGAGAGCAGGACGGCGAACTTCGCACACACAGAAACACACACTCCACTGCACCGTGCGTAAATGCACATGCATGCACACCGATGACAAGTGCGCACGCGTGTGTGTACAGGGAAACTTGATCCACAGAAATAGAATACAGAAAAATCAAAGTACA